GGAAAAAACCCTCTCACTCGGGGTGCTTGTGGCTGGAATAGCCAGGTAGCTCCTCGAAAGCGGGGGAAGAGGTGCACGTTTTCTGCCCACCACTCCAGTGGATTATCTATTGTGGGGATATGCGGTGTCCGCTGGCAGTAATCCCGTAGCTCATCATCCGCATCACTGTTGACCCTTGTTTTCTTGCTGTTCGTTTGCCTCTGTTCAGTGCTGACGCCGGTCCGTTGCTCACTGGTGCTAGCATTACTGCTTGTGCTAGCTGTCGTCATCTTCAGATGGTTGCGCATAGCAGATGCATTTGTATTGTACTTCAGTACAGCTGTACACAACTGACACTTCACTGTGGAGTTGGTTACATCTTCGTTGAAGTACTGCCATACATAAGAATGTCGGACGTGTTTTGGAGCATTTTGCAGCACCTCGTTTACCTCAATTTTTTTCACGACTAGTCGACTAGGGCCTACAGCGCCGACTAGTGGTAAAGGATAGTCGACTAGTCGATTAGTTGGTGAAACCCCTAACACACACACACACACACACACACACACACACACACACACACACACACACACACACACACACACACACACACACACACACACACACACACACACACACACACACAAGCACACACACACTGATACTTTAGAGTTTCTTTCTCTCTCTCTCTCTCTCTCTCTTTATCTCTCTCTGTCTCTCTCACTCTCCCACACACACACACACACACACACACACACACACACACACACACACACACACACACACACACACACACACACACACACATACATACACTGAGTAATCATAATACAAAAAATGTGGTGTGCAAGAAGGGAAGCAGATGCATGATGGGATGTCGGTAAGTGAGTCAGCGTTCTGTGTGGATCCTGCAACGTCAAAACTGGACGGTCATACTTCCTGGTCGATGTTCATTCCTCTTCCTGGCGAAGATGAGAGTTATAGATAGATAGATAGATAGATAGATAGATAGATAGATAGATAGATAGATATATGGATAGATAGATATAGATAGATAGATAGATAGGTATAGATAGATAGATATATGGATAGATAGATATAGATAGGTAGATAGATAGATAGATAGATAGATAAATAGATAGATAAATAGATAGATAGATAGATAGATAGATAGATAGAAAGGTAGATAGATAGGTAGATAAATGGATTGATAAATAGATAGGTAGATAGATATGAATATGTGTGTCTGTTTGTTTTTTGCTCTGTAACTAAGCACATTCACTTAGGTACTTAAGTTGTTGAGGTACTTGTACTTTACATAACATAATTACTTTGCAGACTCTGATTCATAATACAAAATATAAATGAATACAAAAATGATTATGAGGTCTGCGTCCATTTTTTTTGCTCTTAAACTGCTGCTGTTTCATTGGCTCCATGCAGGACTCCATTAACAACAACTCTTTGGGCAAGAAGGACAGCTGGAAGGCGTCTCGCTCCTCCTCCCCACATATCAAAGGTGACTAAATGAGCTTGGATAACAAAACATTTTTTAAATAACCAAACCAAAGGAGATTTTTACAAAATAAGTGGGCTACCAACCCACAACTGTGCAATAAGACAGTCAGATGTTGTGGGCTGCCTCTGTCTTTGAAATGTGGCTTCCCTTCCTATGTCACATCATGAGATGAAACCGCCCCCATCCGACTATTTCTACCCAGAACTTGAGAAAACGACATATTTGTCTTCCAAGCCAATCAGAGCACAGTGGGCTTGAATACAGGTATATTCAGAGGAACAATTTCAGAATTTAGAAAACCAAAATACAATTATGAACCTGTTAAATATATAAACCTGTGAATAATCATAATCATAATTGTAATAACAACAATAATAATGATGATGGTAATAATAATAATAATGATAATAATGATCATGAAACAGTAGTTCTGAGACTTGCTCTCTGCTGATACTCTACTTCAATTTTGATGGACTTGTACTTCACTTGCCATAACGTAATTTGCAGATTGTGATTTTTTATATAAAAACTCAAAAATGGTTAGCATCTTTGAACACATGGGAATAGCGCTATAAAAATACAATGAATTATTATTGTTTTTATAAGTCAACCAAAAAATACATTTTGATAGGATAAGATCCCAGCAATATATAAAGTCATTTAGATTAGCCTACTGCTACTAGCTGCACATTCAAGTGATGTCCACACAGTATAGTGCAGCAGTGATGTAACTAACTACTATACAATCTTGAGTAACCTTTAATTTATAGAAGTATTTACATTTTTTGCTATTTGTACTTCTACCCCACTGAAATTCAGAGGTACATTGTGTACTTTTACTCCACTACATGTATATAATACCTTTAGTTACTTTACTTGGATTAATGATGTGAAATACAATCAAAACGTAAATCAGCCTGGAGTAAATTCAAAAGCTACCCTGCAGTATACGAGTATTCCTGCTCTCCGCTACTTCTACTTTTACTAAAGGACACACTTCTTCCACCCCCGCTATACAAGAGGGACAACAAGTGCTCTAGAATAAAGTGAAATGTTTTAGAAATATTTGTATTTTGTTGTTTTTCCTCTAACTCCTGTTTATCCAGGATGAAGTGCTTACTGTAGGCCACTTTGATAATCCAGTGTGCGTTTATCTGGTTGCCTCATACATAATGCCATACTTGTGCTTGTTAAGGGGATCTTCCACCAGCGGATATCCAGCCCAAAGCAGAGGACAAAGTTCGGAACAGCACGCGGCGCCCGGCCCCAAAGCCCCCCGCAGCTAATGGAGCCAACAGCAGGGCCAACCCTCAGGCTGCGGCCCCCCCCACAGACAGGTCTGCTCGCCTGCGCGATAGACAGGCGTCATGGGCCCCACACACACAGGCCCCCAGCACACAGAGGAGTCAGAAGAGAGGAGGAAGAGGAGCGCCGGCCATGAGAGAGAGGAGCCAGGGGGACGGGAGAGGGAAGGATGGAGGGACAGCAGAGAAGGGAGAAAAGAAAGGAGGAAGACTGTGTGAGGAGTCCAAGGGGAAGGACAAAGAGAGGAATGGACATCAGAGGCCCAGAGAAGCAAATGGTCTGAAAAGCCGGGGAGCTGATGGGAGAGGAAAGGTGGGAGCTAAAGGGGCTAACAGAGGAGTGGGGGCCAAGCCAAATAATATACTGTCCACCCAGGAAGTGTATGCAGCCATGGTGGTCCCTCGCACGCCTGTAGCACCAAGAAACCAGGAAAAGACCCAAGACCAAGGTACTGAACCCGTTCTCTAGCACGATGGGGGAATATAACTTTTACAGATAACCACCGTGTGTTCTTCAGGTGTGATTGCTAAATGCATATGACAGCAGTTCTCCTGTTTTATGGCTTTATTTGACCTAACAATGAAACATGTAGTCCATAGTAGCAGCATGTCAGTTTTCAGGATCATTTTATTAGTAATTCCATATAATGATAACAGTTAAGTACATTAAAGTCAAAATGTTCCAGTGAATAAAGATTCAATCGAGGTAAACACTGGGAAAACGACCAGTGTTCAGAGTAAATATTAATTATAACTAAAAACATTATTCTCCATTTGCGTTGAATTGTATTGCCAACTACAAGGAACGAAAACATTTCCAAGTCCTTTGTAGAAGTTTTCTGAAATAAAAGGTCCATATGTGTAGCCTTAAAGTCCTTATCTTACATTAAAAACTGTTTTTGGCAGTTGATTTCTGGGGGTTGTATGCAACAGATAGTCAATGTATGTTTCTTTATTTCATACTGAATAATATGTAAAAAAAGGAAAAATATTAGGTCCAATAAAAAAAACTTTGCTTCTGGAAGCAGGCCATTTCGTGACGTCACGTGTAACCACACGTGACGTCACGAAATGGCCTGCTTCCAGAAGCAAAGTTTTTTTTATTGGACCTAATATTTTTCCTTTTTTTACATATTATTCAGTATGAAATAAAGNTAAGCTATTAACCCCTTCACTATTCTGTCACCTTCCCTTTAGGGGAGCTGTCTTGTCTTGGAATTACTTTAACAAAAGTATTCACTGTAGACCACAAAAACACGTCCTCTTTCTATTTTTATGTCCTCTTTCTCTTAAGGTCCTGACACACCAGGCCGAAATCGGCCGTTTTCGTTAGTCGGACGACGAAGCGTGCCCTGTCGCCCAAACTCAATTTTGTGTGTCCCGCACCGTCAGCCGTGACACGCCTTAAGGCCCTGACACACCAAGCAATCACCAGAGAACTCGCCGACTGTTGAGTCGGCGTGTTCTCCTGCGTCTTGGCCATGTGTCGCACTGGAACACACCGCAAAGACCGAGTACGTACGAACTGCGCATGCGTGAGTGGCAATAACTCTCCTTACCAGCAGGCGGCGGTAGTGTGTATTCGTCATTAAAAACAGGCAACAACCGGAAGACAGAGAAGAAGAACAGACTACGTGATATAAACAAACAACAAATAGCGTGTGTGTTCCATTTTCACTCTCGTTCATCGGAAACATGTTTTGTGCGGTACTGGAGCTATCAGCCATTGGAGTGTTGCTTGTGGAAGACATTCTCAAGCAACCGTTTTGCTTCTCATGCACTGATTCGCTAGTTAACAGCCAATCAGAGTGATTTCTTTGTTCAAATGCCTGTGGCGTGTCACGGCCGACGGTGCGGGACACACCAAATTGAGTTTGGGCGACAGGACACGCTTCGTCGTCTGACTAACGAAAACGGCCGATTTCGGCCTGGTGTGTCAGGGCCTTTATTTGGCCTTTCATGACCGACGCACGGCCACAGGCAGTCGGACAAAGAAATCACTCTGATTGGCTGTACAGCTAGCGAATCAGTACATGAGGCGAAACAGTTGCTTGAGAATGTCTTCCACAAGCAACACTCCAATGGCTGATAGCTCCAGTACCGCACGAATCATGTTTTCGATGGACGAGAGTGAAAATGGAACGCAAACGCTATTTGTTGTTTGTTTATATCACGTAGTCTGTTCTTCTACTCTGTCTTCCGGTTGTTGCCTCTTTTGAATGACGAATACACACTACCGCCGCCTACTGGTAAGGAGAGTTATTGCCACTCACGCATGCGCAGTTCGTACGTGCTCGGCTGAAGTCTTTGCGGTGTGTTCCAGTGCGACACATGGCCAACACGCAGGAGAACTCGCCGACGCAACAGTCGGCGTCGGCGAGTTCTCTGGTGACTGCTTGGTGTGTCAGGGCCTTTAAAGTCCTTATCTTGCGTAATTTACTGTAGCTGAAAGATCATAGAACTGTTTCAAAATGCATTAACTTGTTGGGTCTTATTCCAGTAACACGTGATATAGATCGAATATCGTTTCCTATTTGCTGTAAATCACTTGTTAATATCGGGAAAATGGGTCAAATTCAGAGGTATCCAGAAAAGTCTGGATTCAAACTTGCCGCTGCTTGGTGCTGTGTCGTGACGTCACGTGTGGTTCCGCGAATCCTGGTGAGTTCAGCCCGTCCCAGCATCACACAGTGTAGCATTGCTGGTATAGCCGCATGTCAACTTTGTGTATCAGTGTTTATCTCCGAGTTTGTCTTGTTTTGCACGTCGTTTGCGCCTTACACGGTGGTGGCCGGAAGAGAAAGCCTTGTTTACTTGCATTTTGGTAAGCGCTAAAAACCACAAGAGTGTGGGCGGTTGCTGTGTGGAGAAGTAGTACTAGGATCGAAGCCCTTT